GGCAGCTGTGTGAGAGCTCCTTCTTGGTCAGACGAGATGCCTTCATGGGCAGGGGCAGCATCCAGCACCTCTGCCCAACACCACAGGAGCAGCGATGAGGGCAAGGAGAGCATGGCCAGAGAGAAGAACAATGTGGGCAATGGATGCAGGAATTGCCCCTGGAAATACAAAACAGAATTTGCTGAGAGGGGGCTGTGCACCCTGATTTCCAGCAAACAGTGCATTCCCTTACTCGTGACTGATGGTCTGTAGGGACCCGAGCTCCTGCCGAGGTGGCTGTCAGGGCAGCTGTGGCTGCTCTCCCACTCCCCAGCATGCTGAGCCATCCCCTTCCCTCTGCACCAGCTCTGCAGGCTGGTTCTCAGCTCCCAAACCCTGGGGGTGCTTGTGGGACACACTGGTTCTGCACAGGCACTGGTTGTGGAGAGCCAAGAAACACAGTCTAGGCAGGCTGGGAGGAGTGCAGTGGAATGGGAGGGTGTCCTTGGTGTTCCTAACCCGTCCTCTCCCGTGGTTTATGATGTTTGCAGGGCTGGAAGTGGCCCTGTCCCCCGTGATGCATACTTAGGGATGGGCAGTGCCATGCAATGTCTGTGCCAGCAGTGGCTGCCATGTGTGTTCTGCTGGGATGCTGGGAGACATGCAGGGAGAAAGTGCAGAGGGAAGGGGACTCAGAGTATGGCAGGGCACACAGAGCAAAGTCAGAGGAAATTCTTGCCTTGTTACCCAAGAATAGTGAAGACTGAACCCACACAGCATATTTTGGGCATTAGCAAAGGCATCTTAGGCTTACTAGCATTCTTAAGCAAGAGAGAGGTCTGGAGTGGGGGAGCATTAATTAATCAGTAAGGTTTGGTGATGCTTGAGCTGCTTAGCAAGGCACTCTGAGGTGCAAGGAGTAGTAGAGGTTGCTCCCTAAATTAAGGTGGTGCCATCCCCAGCAGAGGCTGGATACAGCTCCTCCTTCTATCCAAACTCTTGGGCGTTGCCCTGCTCCTGCTGCAGAAACTCGTGTCCAAATTCATCAGCCGCAGAGGCATCAGCCCCCGGCCGCTGCAGCGAGGGAGTGGGAGAGGAGGCGGAGGAGAAAGCTCAGCTGTCATCAGATTTGGGATGCAGGAGAAATGGGAGCGGGCTGCTCTGGAAAAGCTGTGTAGTCATGAGATGGGGAATCATGAGACTTGAATGCTGGTGCTGGCGCAGCCGTGGCCCTGGCCGTGCTGTTTGACCTCTGCTCTGGCCCTCTCTGTGTCCTGTCTGTGGGGTCACCGGCCATCACAGCCCTGTGCTCAATGGTGTGGCTGCTCTGGGATGTTGGCGTGACCCCTTTTATTCCATCCCCCAGAAACCTCCTGCAAGAGCACAAGGCTAGAGATGCTCAAACAGGATTCCAGCAGTGCCTGACCTCAGCCAGCCCTGGGACACTTTCCTTTGCCAGCTGGGAAAGCCAGCAGCCCCAGGGTTGGCTCAGCTCTCCTCATCTCTGCTGCAGACTGCACTCTCTGCTCTGCCAGGCTGGTGTGATTACAGAGGGGAGATAAGGACAGGCAGTGTCTATGTCACCAGTCAGGGACATTTGCCTGTATCTCTGTCTTGTTTGGACTCCAGATCCTCCCAAACACTCTCAGTCCAGCAGTGCCTGGCTCTGGCCTCGCTGGGCGTAGCGTGGGGGCGAGCAGGGACGTGCCAGCTGTCAGGGATATCAGCCCCCCCCCGGCACTTGGCCAAGCCCCAGCGTGGCCCCCGGGACCTGAGCCCTCCTGGGACCTGAGCCCCTGGGGAGCACAGCCACCCCACAGACATGTGGGGCAGAATGTGCTGTGGGGCTGTGTCACCCAGCCAGCGCGGCTGCCCTGCGAGCCAGCCGACCTCCTGTCTCCTCTCCCAGCCAAATTCCTCCTTTAGAATAATAAACAGTGTGGCTCAAGAGAAAAGCTCCTTTCCCTGCCTGGCTAGGACTGGTTTGCCTTCATATGGAGGAGCTGGAGAGGGACAGAGGGAAGGTTTGTACCAGTGCTGGTGGGGATAAAAGGATGGTGAGAGATGTAACATGGGTATGGGTAGTTGGGATAGCATCTGCAGGGTGGGGGGCTGCCATGGGGCTGCCATGGGGCTGCAAGGCAGAGTGAAGGGTGCTGGACGTGGCATTGCTGCAGGAGCTCCGTGGCCTCCATGATTGTGCCTGGATGGGTGAAGGCAAAGGGTCCCATGGCTTGAAAATACCCAGGTCTTGGCTTGTGGGAAGGATGTAGGAGTCTGAGGGGTCTGTGGCACCCTGCTAACCCATACGGGTGAGAGAAGATCATCCAAGGCAGCTGAGATTCGTGTAGGTGCCTGGTGTTTGTAGGTATTTGGGTCCCTGGGTGGATAACGTCTGGGTGCCTGCTTTTGTATCACTGAGTGGGATTGCTCCTCCTCGTCTGGCACTCTCCGTGGCACTCACAGTTCCTGCTAAGAACAAAAGCTGGGATTGAGGAGAGAAACAAGTACTCTCAAGGCTGGCAGTGAGTTGGGTGCATTTGCATCCCTTGTGGAATGCCTGTGCGCACCCACATGTGCAAGCACACGTGTCCCCGAGACAGGGAGGGAAAGGCTGGTCCCTCTGGTCCCTCTGGTCCCTCTGCCTCCCGCAGGACGGGCAGAGCTCAGCCAGCATCTCCGAGCATGCCTCTCGCCCCGGCCGGAGCAGACAAACAAGGGAGAGGTCACCAGTCTCTGCGAGACGTTGCCACCCTCCCACTCCGCTTGAGAAGCATCTCCAAGAGAAATGCCTTTCTGCAAAGCCAGCAGCTTTATTGAAAGCAGCTATGAACACAGCGCAGGCAGCCGGAGGCGGCAGGCGGAGGCTGTGGGGCTCTCGCTGGAGCTACACCCCTGCTAGCCCAGCACCAGCACACAGCTCCCTGATCCGGCAGGGCAGGGCTCTGCACATCAGTGACCCTGCAGACATCAGGGAGCTGTCTGCGTGGAACAGGAAGCCAAAATCTCGCCTGCAGCAGGACAGTGACAGCCATGGAGCTGGACAGGCAGATAAAAGCTGGGCATGAGCTCGGGAAGATCTCAGCCCCTTACAGGCAGGTATCTGCGGGCTGGGGTGGTGAATACAACCTGGCTTGTGCATGCAGGTAGGGAGGGGTGGAAGGAGAGGAACTCAGTTGTCCTTACAACCTTGAACATTGAATAATGGATGAATCACACACCTCTGTAAAGGAGAATGGGGAATCTAAGGTAATTGTTCTCATGGCAGTCCCTTGGGGGGCAGAGATTAGATTGTTCATCCTTCTCTCTGCTGCAGCTTGGTGCTCTGAGGGTGGGTGCAGGGAGGTCACATTCATTTACAGCCTGAGTTTCACCTCGGCCCTTTCATCCTACCCACCCCCATCTCTTGCCGTAAGTGCTCTTATCCCCTCTGGCAAACGAAGAGAGAGAAAGAGTTATAAGAGGTTCTTTTCGGGAGGAGGGAGACAGAGGCTGCTGAATAAGCTGGAGACCTGGAAGGATTTGTGGTAGATCAGACTTGTGTTGAGCCAAAGCAAGAGAATAATAAAAACATCTGACAAGCGCACGTCATTTAAAAACCATTTCCTCCTTAACATCAAGCAGACCAGGAGGCCGCTCCAGGGCAGGAGGCAGCGGGAAGCTCAGTAAGAGACGGGACCTGGGACCGGGTCAGCAAGCCCAGATTGTCACTAGCCCTCCTTGAGGCTGGCAGGAGCTCCCCGGAGCACTGCCAGCATCTCAGGGGTGATGCTCGGGGTCTGCCTTGGGAGGTGGCCCAGTGGCAGGGCAGGAGCTCAGCCCTGGGCTGTAGCGTGGCTGAGCTGTGAGGTTCAGCTCCATGCAGGAGCATCCCCAAGTCCCCAGTGAACTCATTTCCCCCAGGCTTTGCCCAGGCACAGAGAAAGCAGTTTCCCTTACTCTTCCTCCTGTCAGTGTGTTCATTTTGCTTTTTAGAAATACTCGTTCCCACCCCTACAGGCACCGTGGGGAGGGGTACCTGTCACCCCAATACACAGGAGACAGATCTCTGCTCTCAGGGGTCTCTGGCCTTGTCTCCTTTGGCTCCAGGTTTGCACCAGGGAGGGCTGAAAAAGCTCTGTGGGAAAGATTTCCTGAGAAATGTTGACTAGAAGGATTTAAAACTAAAAAACCTCTTAGATGTTATCTTAAATTTATGTGTTTAAAAGTTAAATACAAGAAACTCATTTTTTGGTGGAGTTTCTTCTGGCTTGTTGTGGTTTAACCCCAGCCAGGAACCAAGTGCCATGACAAGGCTTCTTTTATTTCATTGGAAGGAGCAAACAATGTGGGAGGGTTGGAGGGGCATCTGTTTTCTAGCAAGTTTTATCTCACTGTGACTGAGGGAAGAAAAACTAAGGAAAAAAGGCAAGTGGTAAAGCAGAGGGAGGGAGGGAGGGAGGAAGGCAGGGCTCTGCCAAGGGGGGAGAGGCATTTCCAGCTGAGATGAGCAAAAGTTGACAAAACTGCTGCGGCCTCCAGCAAAATCCCTGTTTACCATTGAGAGAAGCCTTAGAAACTGCAGACCCAGTGTGAGGGAGAAGCACCACTCCCCCAGGAGGGAAAGGCTGAAAACTGGAGAGCTGGAAGGTTTCTGAGGTGGAGAAATGAGGCCAGGACTTGGGTGGGGGCTCAGGGACCCCTGCCCAGCACAGCCAAGGGATGCCTCCTCTGCTGAGGGCTGTGCTCATGTCACTTTGCTCTTGACAGGACTCAGACACCAAGCCCAAAGCCCAGCATGCTGTGCCCTGCTCTCAAGATGTGTCTCTGGCTCCTCATCCTCACTGGTGAGTGCTGTGGCTGGGCAGGGCTATGTGATCCCTGGGGGGCTCCCCTCGGGGTGAGGGGGAGGAAAGGGGCAGTGCCATGGGGAAGCCCTGGGGTGCACAGCATGCTCCAGGCACATCTGTCCCTGCTAATGCCTCAGACCCATGGGCTGACCCAGTCCTGTGGATGTAAAGTCCCCACCTGCCTCATGGTGATGCACAGCATGGTGGGAGAAGGAGACTCTTCCATAGGCAGCAGTGCCAGGTGTGCTCAGACCTTCCTTAGCAGTCACCTGAGAACCCACATTATCTAGACACCCCACAGCAGGAGGGATTTGGTCAGATCCCATATATCCAACAACCCCCCCACAGCAATGCACCAGGGCTCCTGGCTGCACCTGGGCTGTTCACAGCATTGCTGCAAGTCCCTGCAGCTGTCCTGTCCACCTGTGGGGACACCAGAGGGGAGCATGTCACAGCCCCGTTGGGACATCGGGCAAATGGTGAAGCAAGGAAGCTGGGAGAGACATGGGGAGCCATTCAGGAAGACTCGCCTGCTCTATTGCTTCCAAAGGATTTCCTGCAAGGTTTTCCTTTCACTCCTTTTTCACTTTCTTGTAAACTGACATTGTTTCAGCCTTGTCTGTGTCCTGTCTGACACTGTCCATGTGGACAGGCCGCCAGAAGAGCAGGGAATTGCCTCCTATCCTTGAGGATTCTCCACCCAGTATTGCCACAGACAACATGGGCCGTATTAAACACTGCTAAATCCTGTGATGTCTGATTTGCTGTCCAGTAAGGGTTGCAGGAGGTACAGGAAATGAAGGGAGACCCACCAAGATCTGGACTGGGAGGATATTTTTGAGGGTTTGTCAGTGATTACACTAGGGAAGGCAAACTCAGGAAAGTTATTTTTCAGCGTAAAGGCTGACACTAGAAAGGAAACACATTGCCATGAGGTATGTTTCTCTGTGGATTTCACAGGAATTCAATTTGGTCTCGTGTCACTCCTCTCTCAGGTCTGCTGGAGGTAACTTTTGGGGACAGCAGGCTGCACATCGAACCCAGAGACACTGAACTTGTCCTCAACCTCCACAGCACCTTCTCCCTCCTGTGCTACGGGGACAGAGAGCTGGTCTGGGAACGGGAGGGGCAGCCCCTCACTGCCTCGCTGGAGCACAGGGATGGTGTCTTTGTCAGCAATCTCACCCTCAGGAACGTGACAGGCCATCACACCGGGGAGTACACATGCACCTACAGCCCTGAGCAGGCTCCAGAGCCAGCGGAGAGGAGAGCCCTGTACATCTATGTTCCAGGTAGGGGACAGCATGTCCTTGCCTGTGGGTTTCCATGGGGTTTAGCAACTAGGAAAAAGAGGGCCTTGACTTACTGTTCTGTCTTCCAAGCACCTAGCCTCCCCAAATCTCTTCTCCAGTAGCAAGAGAGCCCTCATGGTAGGTCTCTCTGGCTGTGTCATGTCTGTGGTGTGCCAGCTCATGGACAATGTGGTATGCTGGGACAAGTGGTGGGGGAGCTGGGTGGTGCTGGGTCTCTCTCACCCTCCCAGGAGACATTTGACAAGCACACAACATACAGCTTTACTTTCCCAAGGAAAGTATGGCAAGAAGCATCCCACCAGCATAGAGTCAGGGCCCTGTGGTGGAGTATTCCTGGAGGAGCACAAAACAGCCCTGGTAAAGTTTCCAAGCAGCTTTCTCTAACCAATGTTCCCTCTCTCCCACAGATCCCTCCCTGGTTTTCCTCCCTGCAGTCACCTCTGAAGAGGTCTTCATCTTCATCACAGGCTACACAGAGGCTGTCATCCCATGCCGTGTGACCAACCCACAGATGCAGGTCACCCTCTATGAGAAGAAGGTGGAGAACCCCATCCCAGCTACATATGATCCACAACAGGGATTTAAAGGCTTCTTTGAGGATAAGACCTATTTCTGCCGGACATTTGTGGATGACCAGGAGGTGGATTCTGACACTTTCTACGTTTACAGGATCCAGGGTGAGCTGACATTGTCTTAGCACACCTGTGCACCTGCTGTGGCTGTTTCTTCAGGCCAGTGGCAGGAGACACCAAAGCTCTCCCCCTGTGTCCTCGGTGATGATCAATTTGGAGGCTGGATTTAGTCCTTTTTCCATTAGAGAATGGGCTTTGCCTACAAGTCAGCTCCAGCCCTCAGGGAACACAGTTCCACCCAGGGTAAATGGACTGGATGCTCACTCATCCCTTCATAATTCATTCCTCTCTTTCACCTTTCCCGCAGTGTCATCTGTGAATGTGTCCATCAGCGCAGTGCAGACCATGGTGCGCCAGGGAGAAAACGTCACCGTGATGTGCACAGTGAGCGGCAACGAGCTCGTCAACTTCAACTGGGATTATCCCCGCAAGCAAGTGAGTGCTCCACACCCACTGGCTCTGGGCAGCCTTTGCCCAGATGTGCCATGGCAATCACTCATCAGTATCCCATGGCAGAAGTTGTGGGATGCTGCTGCTGCCACACAGGGAGGTTTGATGGGGATATGCTTGGATTAAGTCTGTCTGTCCCAGGGGTCTCTGATGGGTACGTGTTCCCTGTCCTGTGGCAGCCAGATTGGGGTCCTCTATCACTTTCTCCCTCCTCCCTGTAAGTCCAATGGCAGAACATGTTTTTGGCTCCTCAGACCATGTCTCCTGTCCCCATTTTGCAGGCAGGGAAGGCTGTGGAGCCAGTGACTGATTTCCTGCCTGGATCCACTCATGAGATCCGCTCCATCCTCATCATCCAGAATGCAGAGCTGGAGGACAGTGGGACCTATGTCTGCAATGTCTCTGAGGGCTACCATGAGAAAACAGACCGGAAAGACATCACTGTTCAAGTGATCGGTGCGTTGCTGCCCACACGCCCAAAGCCAGCAAACCGTGTGGGCGACCAGGCAGGATGTCCCAGAGTGACCCCTCTCCTGTCTCACAGCCTCCAGCTTTCTCCCCTCCTCACTTCTGCTCTAAGTAACCATGACGACAAGCCAAACCTCACCCCATGTCACCCCTGCCCACTTCTTGGCTTCAAAATATCCCAAACTTCCCTTTGTGGCTTTTATGACCCATTAAGACCCTTATTGGTGTTGGTAAGAGCTCCTCTGCTCTATACAGTGCAAGTGCAAGTGATGTGAAGACATGTTGTCTTCCATATGCATCTGACCCTCTTTCATGTAATTTGAGGGAAACTGCCCCATCTCCATTATCTCCACAAGATAACAGCCACGTGCTTCTGCCCTGTAAGCTCCTCTGCTCCAGTATGGCTCTGCATCCACACTCCCCTCAGACACAAGTCTGAGGTCTTGAGGGATGGATCTGGAGCTGCCCCACCACTTCTGGGTGTTCAGAGAGTTTTGTTCCAGACCTGTGTTTATCCAAAGGGCTAGGGAGGGGGTTATTCCCCTCTCTGACCCCTCTCTTCCTCTTGCCTCAGAGCGTGGCTTTGTGCACTTCCATACCCACCTGCCCAGCACGGTGTATGCTGAGGTCCACAAGAGCCACACTATCCAGGTGGAACTGGAGGCTTATCCCCAACCCAGCATTGTGTGGCTGAAGAACAACAAGACATTGACCATGGAGAGCAGCAGCGAGTTCACTATTACGAGCAGGAACCTGTCAGAAACCAGGTATGGGCCCATCATTCCTCACCAAGGTGTAGAGAGAGCGTAATTCACAAAGGAATCTCCAAATTTCTGGCTGGACACAGTTGGTGATTGAATAGTTTTCTGTGGGTGGATTTTGAGCACTCCTCAGGTGGGTGGGAGCTGGTTGCCTCCAAGCATTATCAGTCCTCAGGTACCTTCCCACAGCCATCACTCTGGGACTGTGTCTCCCCCAGGTACCAGACAGCTCTGGTGCTGGTGCGGGTGAAGCAGGAAGAAGGAGGATTTTACACCATTCGGGCTTCCAATGAGGATGATGAACAGGAGCTCTCCTTCCATCTGCAGATAAATGGTGAGGATGGGCAGCACACACATGGCTGAGGAGAGCAGGAGCAGCCTCCAGGGATGGCACCATCCTTTGCTGCAGAACTCTTAGAATGAAGCCATTACTCCTATGGCCTCAGCTCCAGACTGGTCTTGCTTAAAGAAAGAGCATTCAAGCAAGAAACACACTTGGATAAAATATCTCACACTTGGCCTCAGAGCAAGGGGGACAGGGAGGCAGCACAGACACCATCAACTTGGCCCATGGTAGTAAATGTAGAGATGATTGTACAGCTGTGATGTCCAGGACTTTCCCCCGTGCTCATCCTGTCTCCAGTCAAGCTACATGGAGGCAGATCTCCCCCATAACCCCCTCAAACCTTACTCTTTTTGCTGTTCGCTTTCAAAAATAAAACATAATGGACGTGATGAGTCCTACCTCATCCCTAGACTGTGGTAGGGATACAGTAGACTCACATTCCCCAGAGGAATCATGTTCCCCTTCCATCCTGCAGTCAGAAAGGAAGATGAATTCCAGTCACTGTCTTTTGGTTTCAGTGCCAGCTAAAGTCGTGGATCTCAAGGAGAACAGCAGTGCCAGCAGTGGGGAGCAGACTGTAACATGCTCTGCTGAAGGCATGCCCCAGCCAGAGATCAGCTGGTCCACCTGCAGCGACATCAAATGGTGAGTGGAGGGATGGAGGCCACGAGAACTGATAGACTTTATCTATTAGAATAACAGGCTATTATTTAATTGTTCCCTGCTGGCACACACGCCTGGCCATCCCATGGTGGTGCATGGTCCCTGCTGCCTCTCAGGTGCCTTTCTCCTGTCTGGACCAGGTGCAGCACCAAGGGCCAGCCCACGCGGCTGCTGGGGAACGAGTCGGCCGAGATGGGCGTGCAGACCAACGCCTCGTACCTCGCGGAGCGGCGGCTCTACCGCGTCAACAGCACCCTGCAGCTGCACAGGGTGCACGAGCCCCTGCTCCTCAGGTGCACTGTGCAGAACTTCCTGGGCACCAACTCCCAGGACATCACTCTGGTCCCACACGGTGAGGGCTGAGACAAGCTTTGAGCCAGTAGCAGGGAGATAAACCTTTCTGTATCCCCAGCCTGGAAACCTGGGTGCTTCTGCCCCAAATGAAGCTTCCTGTAGGTTGAACAGAAAAGATTGTTCCGGTTGGAGTGTGGAACCCTTATGCCCAATGACCATGGGTATGCTCTTCCCACTACTGCCAGGGTCATCTCTCCAGGGAGGCAAGACAAGAATGCCTGAGCAGGTCCCCAGTGTCTTGTTAGCCCACGGGTCACTAGATGGTGCCACGGGCTTGAACATTCACGTGTTGAACATCCCAAATATGAGGAAGGATGGTCTAAGCCCAGGCCGAGGGCTGCCAGCTCTCCCCCAAGCAAAACAGCCCCTCTAGATCTTTTCACCCTCCCATGGCCAAACCTCTCCTGAGGCAGAAGCCAGTAACAGCCCATCATCCCTGGGGGGCTGGCTCTGTAAGTTCTGGGAAATCTGCCCAGGAGGAGACTGTCCCTACCCAGAGAACAGCTCAGGGTCAGTGTCTGGGGGTGGAATGTGCGGGAACCTCTATGCACTGCTTTCACCTCCTTTCCCTGGGTGCTCAGGCCATGCAGGGGTGGAGGAGTCTGACTGCTGTCCCTGTTATATTTGTAGCCTTGCCGTTCAAGGTGGTCATCATTTCTGTCATCCTGGCCTTGCTGGTCCTCACTGTGATCTCCCTGATCATCCTGATCGTGCTGTGGCAGAAGGTAAAAGAGGAGAGTGTTCCCAAGCTGGTACCTTGGTACTCCAGGGTTAAGTGTCTGATGATGTCCCAGATGCATCAGGATCTCCATCAGTTCCTGTGTGCCCTTGGCATCTCTGGGGTCGATGGGGAATGAGACAATGGCTGTAGAGACCAAAGGCTCCCTAACAAAATCCAGATACATCCCCCACGCCCTCTCTGACTCCCAGGGTCTCAGATGTATCTTTTCCCTCTGCTCCCTTTTCCAGAAACCTCGTTATGAAATCCGCTGGAAGGTGATTGAATCAGTCAGCTCTGATGGGCACGAGTACATCTATGTGGATCCCATGCAGCTTCCTTATGACTCCACCTGGGAGGTGCCCAGGGACAAGCTGGTGTTAGGTAAACGCTCTGCAGGTCCCACTGGTGGATTCCTGAGGTCCTGGCTGTCTGGGGGTGATAAGTTTTGGGTTGAGATCTCCAAAAGAGACAACTCAGAACAGACACAGAGATCCCTGGAGATATGATGTGATCCTGGAACAGGGGGATCATCTAGGACTGTGATGGGAGGCCAGCTGCCCCCTTTGGCGTTAAGTACCATGTTATTCCTGGCTATCCTACCTTGTAGCTGACAGTTCTGGAAACCAGCCCCAAGCCCAAACACAATAGCTCATGGCCATGTCCATGCCCACCAGAATGACTGCAGCAAGGCTGGTGTGATTTCAGAAAAACAACTTGTATTTTTCAGTCTCCTCTCCTCACCTCTCCTCTAGAGCATTGCCAACTTTGCCTCCTGGCTGTTTCTTTGCAGGACGCACTCTCGGCTCCGGGGCCTTTGGTCGTGTGGTGGAGGCAACAGCCCATGGCCTGAGCCATTCTCGGTCCACCATGAAAGTGGCAGTCAAAATGCTCAAATGTGAGTTCTCCCTCTTTCCCCACCCTAAAGCCACAAGACCAGTCAGTGCCACACTGTCCCCTCCTTGCCCTGCTGCTCACACTGGCTCTCCCCAACAGCCACAGCCCGCAGTAGTGAGAAGCAAGCCCTCATGTCTGAGCTGAAGATCATGAGCCACCTGGGACCTCACCTCAACATCGTCAACTTGCTGGGGGCCTGCACCAAAGGAGGTAGATGAGCCCTGAGCACCCCGTTTCCTCTCTCTGCTTCCCTGGGCTGTGCTTAGGCAGACAATTGTTCTTAGATAGAATAATTCCTGTTTTCTGGTTCCGAATGATTCAACCTTCTCCTAAGAGAGCCTTGTGGGACTCTGAACGCCTTTGTTCCAGCCTGATTGAAACTGGGAAGGCACGTGTCTGTTAACCCCCACCACCCTCCACAAACACAAACTCCAAATGCCAAAAATACTCAGTTACCAGAAAAGTGGCTTTTCCCTTTGGCCCCGCCTAGACATCCTGTAGTCTGGTAATATCCTTGTGCAATGAAATTCCCGGCCAAGGCAGGGCTGATGCAGGTGTTCTGTCCCACCAGGACCCATCTACATCATCACCGAGTACTGCCGCTACGGGGACCTGGTGGATTACCTGCACCGCAACAAGCACACCTTCCTGCAGTCCTACGGGGACAAGGCACGGCGGGAGGCGGAGCTCTACGGCAACACCCCCAGCGAGGACCATGTGCACAGGTACCAGGAAAGCGGCTCTCTCCTCCTCCCTGGTGCCTGCCCCATTCTAGCCCCGTCAGGGAGGGAGGCTGGTACTCCCAGGAAGGATCCTGCATTTCTCCAGAGCAGTGAAATAAACACTGGGCCAGCACTGGGACACAGCTGGCTGCTCTGTCACCTTGTTAGACCAGCCCATGTGCCAAACAGTGACCTCCAATCAGCTCCTGACAGCGAGGGGTTAGCAAACTGTGTTCTGGAGCCTGAGTTTGCTAGCACACATGCCAGTTGCTCCATGCCAGTTGGGAATATTTCCTGGCATTGTTAACTTTATTTGCTTAACCATAGCCACGCACTGAGTACAGAGACACAGGGTTTTCCAGCATGTCTTAACCACTGGAGATCTCAGCTCTGCATTTTCAGGGCAGGTTGAGTTGATACCAAACCTAAGGGAGAAGTGCTACAAGGAGGGCAATTGCACAAGAGGTGCCACAAGGAAAGGGAAATGGTCCTTTATCTGGTTGCCAGCTGCCAGGGATGCAGGCACAGCAGCACAGGGAAATGGTCCCCTGGGAAGTTAGAAAGCAGCATTTCCTTCCAACACACCAAAACAATAGTAAAATAGAGCAGTGTAACAGCTCCCCCCTGCCCTTTCTGCCTGAAGGCAGCTGAGATCTTCCTAAGCACTATGCCATTTGCACACCATCCATGATGCAGGGCTTCTTTCCTGGCTGTGTGGGACATTTCAGTGCTGGGGGTGAGGGTTTGGGAATTTCAGGCTCACAAATCATTGTCCCCAGCCCTCATGTCTCCTCCTCTCCTCTGGATCTGAGCAGCCACCTCTCCATGTCTGTCGAGAGTGACGGGGGCTACATGGACATGAGCAAGGACGACTCCCTGGACTATGTGCCCATGTCTGACATGAAGGGTGAAGTCAAGTACGCTGACATCGAGTCCTCTAACTATGGCACCCCCTACGAGCTGGACAGCTACTCCCCCTCAGGTAACAGCTTGGCCACAGCAGGAGGGAGAGGTGCTTATATTTTGGGTGCTGGATGCCTTTGCTTGCAAAGGTCACTTTTGGGACTGGCCCAGCAGCAGTGGTAGATGTCCTCACAGTGAGAGCTCCAGGCTCTGTCCCTTTGTTGCTGGAGGCAGAGCATTCCCCTTCCCCTAGTGGGAGGCTCACAGTGTGCTGGGTGACACCGACATCCATCTCTGCTTTCCTTTCAGCTCCTGAAAGGACAGACCGGGTGACACTGATAAATGAGTCTCCACTCCTCAGCTACATGGACTTGGTGGGCTTCAGCTTCCAGGTGGCCAATGGGATGGAGTTCCTGGCTTCCAAAAATGTACGTATGCGGCTGCTCTGCCGAGTCCGTAGTGCTGGTGGCCAGCAGTGAGTTTTCTGCCATGTCCTGTGGTCTGCTTCCTCCCACTGTCCCTCTGTCTGTGCCAAACTCCTTGTGGGATAAGTGGCTGTGCAATTGAAGAGCTGCTGACCACTTCCCTTTGGAAACACATACTGGAGATCAGCATGACTGTATTTGCATGTGACAGCTAGCCCTGGCTCACACTAAGCTTCAAACCTCAAATTCCCTCCTGTGCTCCTCCTGAGCTGTGTTCAGCACAGCTGTGGCATTATATCATCCCTATTTACTGGGATGACCAAACAGTGTACAAGGAGCTAAAGCACAAGGCACTCTGCAGCAGAACAACTACTCTTCCTAGACACCCTTATTGCACTGCATGCTCTGAGCACCCTAGGACTCATCAGAAATGCTTGTTCACTGGAAATTAAGCCACTGTGGAGAACTAGACTCTGGGATTTCCTAAGGCCTGGCTTAGCCCAGGGCAGTCAGTGGATAGCTGGATTTTGTGAAGCATCACACAGGGCAGGGCTAACAGAAGACGTCAATGGCATCAATGCAAAGAGAAATTCCTGGCTCTCTGCCCCCAGCCAGGCAGTCTGATCCCTAAAAGTGCATGGTCAGTGCTCCTGCAGCAAATGTCAGGGAACAAATGTCAGACAGAAATGTCTGTTCATACGGAAAATATCCAACATGCTGGCAAACTAGGAGACACAAGCCAGGCTGGTGTAACTCAGATGTCTTCAGGCTGCTGGGTTGGATTGTCCAAACAGAGATGGAGACACGCCCTCCTTCCAGCCCACCAAGTGCCCTCACTTGTTCTGGCCCTGGCAATCCCCTCTCTGCTGGGTTGTTCCAATTCCCCCTGCTGGATCCATATGGCTCTTGCTGTCATGGAGGAAGCAGTTCAGGCAAACAGCAAAACTGTGTTAGCTCTGCTAGTGATTAAGCCATGATTGTCCCTAGATGTGAAGGAGACTCCTGAAATGATGTGAGGTGGCTCCTGTCCCTGCAGCCCCAGGAATGGGCTAGTGCTGGAGCTGGGTGTGTTCTCAGGCTGTGTGAAAGCTCCTCACAGTGACAGTGCTCTGTGTCCCCCCCCTACAGTGTGTGCACCGTGACCTGGCTGCCAGGAATGTCCTCATCTGTGAGGGGAAGCTGGTGAAGATCTGTGACTTTGGCCTGGCGAGGGACATCATGAGGGATTCCAACTATATCTCCAAGGGCAGTGTGAGTACTAGGAGCCTTGCAAGCTCCTTTTTCCCTGGGCTCTGGGCCTGGCACCCCCTGTATAGTCCCTCTGTGAGCCACCTGTCCATCAGCGTGCCCAGAGGTGGTGACAGGGTTGGATTCCCAGGAGATGATGTCAACAGCCAGCCATCCCTCACTTTGTTTGCTCTGCACGCTGTGAAGTAGCAGAATTGCATGCCCACATCTCCTGGCTCTTTGCAGAAGAACCTGAGCAGTAGCAAAACTCAGGATTGTCCCCTGTAGACTGTCCTGATCACGGCAGCAGTGCTGTATCCTGCCAGCACTGAGTGTGGTTCTGAGCTTCAGGCAGGATGAGGACAAAGCTAGGCAGCTTGGTAGGGCTGTAGTGACTCACTGACCACTGTGGGAAGAGATTCATAGGATTCTGCTCTAACCACTAGACCACAAGTTAAGAAGAAGTGTCTTCTTGCTAGCAGCTACTTTCCAGAGAATTGTCTCCAGTCTTTTGAGGCAGGAGAGGGTAAGGCTGTAATTGAGTTTTGCCAGAAACCATTTCCCTGTGATTTCAACAGCAACCTATTCACTCTAGCCCTCAGGCATTTGTGAATCTCCAACTTAAGCAAAACAGGCCATGTAATTCCCACAGAAACTGAGGCTGGGGGAGCTGAAAATAGAGACAGGTGCCTTAAACCCTAATCTTTATCTAATCTAAAAACTACTTAACTTCTCTCATAAGTTCTCTCATGTGCTGTCAAACAGGTACTCAGAGCCTGGTCAGGGGGACCCTCCCCCAGAGGGGTTGGGGTTTTCAGTGCAGCCTTGACATAGCTGGTTTCCTGTCCAAAATGGGAAATGAAACTGAGCCCCTTTGCAATCCTTCCTGGAGATTATTTTGGTATTCATTGTGCAAGCAAATCCCAGGAGCAGCACAGGCAGTGCTGCCTAAAAGCTGGTCAAGTGAGGCTTTCTTTTTTATTACTCTTCGTGAGTAAGAACAGAAAAGAAGCTGGATGTATCATTTGGCTCTTTTCTGGTCATCCCTTAGCCCCCTCCAGCCTGGTCTCAGGTTTCCAAAGTCAAATAGGCCTGGACTTTCTTCAGGAGTCTTTGGTCAGGTTGTGCAAGTCAGTGGCCTCCTCAAGAGCAAGGGAACAGAGAACACACACTGTGACGTGTGTGCATTCATCATGGCAGGCTGTGATGGAAATGGATACAGCATAGCCATTCCTTCCTCCTGCCTGCTGGGTCTGTTCTGCACAAAGAAAGAGGCAACTGGTCCCGTCCAGAACAGACTGACAGCAGACGTCAACAGATGTGTTGGTCTCACAGGCAGATCTGAAGGATCTTCTTTGCTTGTAAATTGAGTGTCAGGCTCTTACCTGTTGAAACAAGTGCTATGGGTATAGCTGACTCTCGTCTCATTTTTGATTCTCTCTTAGACCTTCTTGCCCCTTAAGTGGATGGCTCCAGAGAGCATCTTCAACAACCTCTACACCACCCTGAGTGATGTGTGGTCTTTTGGGATTCTTCTTTGGGAGATATTCACTCTAGGTAAGTGCCCTGGAGGGCATGGTGGTATCTATAGTTCTGATAACATGTTAGCAGGATCCCTTCAAAAACAATAAAAATGCATTTCTAACCCCCAAGTCCCTACTTTATCTGTCAGAGTAGCACTTCATTCCCTGTCTCCTTCTTCCCCATGCTCTCGTTGCATTTGGAAGTGAAATGAAACAGGAAAGGTAAAGAAGTAAGAAAACCTTGGTGTGAAATGTGTGTTGGCTGAAGGGTGACAGGCAATCCTCCAACCTAATTCCTGCTCTCCCTTCACCTTCAGGAGGGACTCCATACCCTGAGCTGCCTATGAATGAACAGTTCTACAATGCCATCAAACGTGGCTATCGGATGTCCAAACCCACCCATGCCTCTGATGAAATGTAAGTGCTGCCAACATGTGTTTGCCCTGGATGTGTTCTACACACTACAGAACCATTTCTACCTGTTTTCCTCACCTGCTGACTCAGTACTCTCTCTTCCCTATTGGCAGCTACAACATCATGCAGAAGTGCTGGGAGGAGAAGTTTGAGATCAGGCCATCCTTCTCACAGCTGGTGGTGCTTATGGGAAACCTCCTGGTGGATTGCTACAGAAAGGTATGTCCAAAGGATCCTGTGCTGGAGGGACAGAAGAGGATCAGTGCCTTGGTGAGGGCCCTCAGTCAGGGTTTGGAGACCAGTGTTTAGTGCTGCAGTGCCAGAGGATTTTGCTGTGACCAAGGCTGAATTAGTTGGAGCAGCCAGTGAAGGTGGTTTGGGCATCCCAGGAACATTGCTGAGACAACTGCATCACCAGACAGGCAGCTGTGGAAATCACAACTGGCAGGAGATCAAAATCCTGCCTCCAACTGTTTGATATTTTGGAGCTGTGAAGTTGTGCCACTGATCTCTCCCTTAGGAAAGGTTCATGGCCTATCTTTGTTAGAGTAAGGGCAGCTGAACCCAGCTAGAAGATGCCAGCCCCTCTAGGAAAACCCTGGCAGGCAGGAAAAGGAAACACAACAAAAATTCATTCTCCCCACTCACAAGAGGTTTCCCTTTCTTTGGTAACCTGCCCTGTGAGAGCAGAGGTACCAGCAGGTGGATGAAGAGTTCATGAAGAGTGACCACCCCGCTGTTGTCCGCACAAGACCCACAATTCCTGTGCTGAACAACGCCCGCCTCGCTGCCAGCTCCCCCTCCAGCAGCGTCCTCTACACATCTGTGCACCAGAACGGGGGAGAGAATGATTATATCATCCCTCTTCCCGACCCCAAACCTGAGGCAAGCTGTGACCTCCCTCAGGAGGCCTCCATCAGCAGGGCCAGGTAAAAACATTGCTTCTGAGTGTTGTCCTTTCCCCCAGCTGTCCAAATCTGAAACAGGGCCCTCAGGAGAAAATGAGGATGCTCTGTTGGGGCACAGAGTAGGGGTGGATATACTGGGAGAGAAGGAGGGCAGTGTCACTCCATCTGAGGTGCTGTGACCTGCATGAGCCCACAGGGATGGAGATGAGCGTGAGGAGCTGAGACATGAGCTGAGACAGGGCACAGTGTCACATCCCTGCACATCAGCCAGCACAGCTGAAGACAAGCAACCCCACTCACAGGGAGGAGAGCACGCAGGGAACCACGTTCTGTAGAACCCAGCCAGCCACGTGTTGTGTTTGAAAGCTGAACAGACCCATCTGGTTTGGTCTGTTCCACTGGGGGAAGCTACTCAGATACAGTGGGGCTGCTGGGAACTCAACACACATCTCAGTTTCTGGGAATCCTCTCCCACCACCTGGGACACCACACTCAAGACAAGACACTAATTTCTCTCTCCCTCTTGTCTCCCTTCAGCTCTATGCTGAACGAGGCCAACACATCATCTACAATATCCTGTGACAGCCCTCTGGGCCTCCGGCAGGACGAGGAGCAGGAATCCGACCCACAGCCAGGCTGCCAGGAGCCAACCACAGGACACCAAGAGGTGGAGGAGAGTTTCCTGTAGTCAGAGCTGGGCTGACTTTGCATCTCCTTATGGAGAGGCCAGCTGAGGGGCTGACCCAGATGTCACAGAGAGCCATGCTTGTGCTTGAACATCAGGACATCCCCTCCTGTCCCAGCATTCCTCCTTCCCTCCTGTCTCCCAGTGCTGGGTGGGGATTTAAAGACTTCTCCACTGCCATCCCCTTGCCCCTTAAAAAGAGGTGGCTCAGTGCCAGAAACCCTCTAGATCACTGCCACATCCTCCTCAGTGATCAAACCACTGCAGGAGGGAGACATCTCACAGACCAGCATCTTTTCAAGTGGAAGACATGGGTTAGATCTCCATGAGATGCCACTTTCTGCATTGCCAAGATGATACTCCAGCCTCTTCCTCCTCCATGGCAAGGAGTTTCATCTCCTCTGCACCAGCACTTCTCTGATGGTCTCAGCACCAGCCACACCATGGTTGTGTGAAATGCCACTGGGACAGATAATCCATCTGGAGCCCATTGCTTGGGTGTAGAGAACCTGCAACACCAACCTTCAGCTGCTGGAGCTCAGAAGTACATTGGATTCTCCTCCAAGCACAGTCAAGTCCTGAAGAGGCCAGCCAATGTCTGGGAGGTGTGGAATTACCATTTTCCTCTCTTGACAGTGCTTCTATGGTGGATAGAGCACCACAAGCACTACAGGTATTCACAGCTCTGGGGCACAGCTCTGCATCCACTCAGAGGCTGTCACACCCTTTTGTGCCCAGCATGGCACCAGGAGCCCCAGGAGCATGCCAGGATCTCTAAATGCCCTCACAATGACTTGGTTATAGAAGCAATGAGGGCAGTCACTGTTGATTGTGTTGTCTGTGTGGACACTAAGCTAATTATTCTCCATTGAAGATTTAAAGGGAACAAATATATTAATCCACTAGCCAGGGCCAGTATAAGGAAGCAATATGGTTATTCATTAATCTACTGCCACTACACCCAGCTCATCTGCTGGGAAATCATATAACCACGCCAGCTGCAGAACCCTCGTGCCTTATCTTTCGGAAGCAAAGGCTCACCTTTGATAAACTGTTCACCCAAACACCCCTTCTCAGGATGGGAGGGCTCACTGTTCCCTCCTGAGTCACAGCAAGATTATGGGCAGAAATAAGAATGCCAGAACACCAACGCAGGGATAGCTCCAAAGAAAGAGAGGGAGAGAGGCTGGGAAGCTCCTTGGTCACAGCTGAACTGTATCTCACACCCTGCCGCCCTCTGGGGCCAGGCAGAGCCACTTGCTGCCTGCCAGGGCTGTGAAATGTCACAGGGAGCCAAGCAGGGCAAGAGGAATCGGGGAGGATTCCTCTCTCTCAGACTGTTTTGAAAACTAAACGGGCCCAGACCTTCCCCCTGCTTCTCACCTCCTTCCCCACTTCTCACAGATGGGTCAGGGGCTTCTTGTGCTCTCAGCTGGCACTTGAACAAGCAGGCTCAAAGCAGGAGGAATACTAAGCCTTGGAAATCAGTTGTGAACCCCACCTCTGCAGAGATGAAAGCTGGACCCCCAAAACCACAGGTCTGACACCACAGAAGACTGCAGGTTTTTCTCTGAAATGAGTTTTACTTCACACAGAGCTCTGTTCACTGCATGTCCCCTGCTCCCATTAACTCTTCATTGTCCTACTCATGCACATCTCTCTGTGCATCCTACAGGACCTGCACAGGAAGGTTTACAAAATCAGAAATTCAATCAGCATATTGCTGGGCTTCTGCCACCTCAGAGCCACTGAGAATTTAATTTTTTTTTTTAAACATGGAACTTCTGCCAGAAATCCCCAGCAAAACAGCTTCTGTTTTAAGTTTTCTACCATTCCAGTGCTACCACTTATGCAGCTAAAGGAGTAGGTGTTTTGTGGGCTGATGTCCTTGGTAAAATGTGAACATAAGAAATAGCACTTATATTGGCAGCCAGCAGAGGATATTTTCAGCCTATGTGGTCAGATTCCCCACCATCCATAGGAAACACACTGTGAATGACAACTGTTTTTCCATCCTCTGTTCCTCCTGCTTGTAATGAAGGAGTCATCTGCTCTGGCCACAGTTCATTAAATGATCCTCACTGCAGAGAAGCAGTAATTTATGAGATCCTTTGGATCAGATCACTTGATTTTTTTAACATGTAAGGTGCTTGGTAGGATCTGTGTCACTGCAACTTGAGCCCATAGGATAGCACATCAGATTGTCCCAATAGCCCCTGTCTGCACCAACTCCACTTTTAATTCATCCTTCTCTATCAAAGGTGACCAGAAGTACCCAGTACTCCAGGTGAGGTCAAACCTAGACCTCACACAGGGCATTAATAGTTCTGGCCTGTGCTGGTCTCCACTTGCCTGGTGTAGCTTTGGATAATATTGGCTTTTTCCCAGCCACAGCATGCTGAGAGCTTGGAGTCATACTCTGACCAGTCTAGGCACCTACGTCTTTCTACACTTCCAGCGTTTCTAACCAAGCTACTCCCTGCTGTTCCAGACATTGGGTCATCAGCAAATTTTGTTAACAAACTGTTATTTTTGGGCTGAACTGACTAATAAAAATATTAGATACTTCTAGCAACAAGAACAATCTGAAAGAGCTACTTTTACTACCTCCATCCAGCCCAAAGATTTCACCATCAATTAACAGCTTCTCACTTTCCCTTTGGCCATTTTCTTATTTCAAAAATCATGTTCTAAACTTCATCTTGTACAGATTTAGGTCCTAATGAAGTCATTAATTTTCCACTATCAAATAATTTCCACAGTCCTGAAAGGAGAGATCTCCCTGCTGGGGGAGCTCAGGTATTCTGTCCTATTAGCTGGGCATTAGCTAATTTGTATGCCTATTGCATTTTGTCCCATTTGTAGATTTACTGTAATTATTATTTGCATCAAAATCTGTTCTGGCTGCTGATGGGATGCTACCCTCACCTCCCCATTCCTCCTTAAAGTAGGTACGCCAGACTCTTTGCAAACTGGGGCCATTCTGCACTCCAGAGGAATATGAAACTTGCCCTTGGCCCCTTGATTTTAAGGGCTGAGTCTTGCACTTTGTGGTATTTTCCTGTCCTTACTCAACCTTTCACAGCACCTTTAGCAAGTTGCAGTGACCAGACCTTCTCAGCCAGGGACAAGCTGGCAGCTGGACAAAGGCAACATATTTTGCTAAGCATCCCTCAAAGAGAAGGCTTGGCAGAGCTGGGGATGACAGATCCAGCCCCACACTCCCTCTCTCTCTCCTGCCAACATTCCAGTCCCTGCATGGCCTGTCAGGTGAGAGCCAGGGAAATGTTTGGCTGTTCTGTGCCCATCAGTTTTGTAGCCATAATTTCTCTGTTGAGACTCTGAAGGGAACTGGTCCCGCTGAGTTTTCTGTTTTGATGATCAGTTTTTTTGTTTGGGTGTGTTTTTATGTTTAGAGGTGGACCCAAACTGAGCCCCCCATGAAGGAACACATGCCACAGCTTGGGCCCATCTCTAGTGCAATATCTTTTTATTTGTAGGTTATATTTTACTCTACAGCTGTTACATTGTTATCAGAACCAGTATATGCATAATCCTACTGCCAGTCACTATTTTATACGTGTATCCCAGAAACTAATGCAGCACTCTGGTGTCTCTTTCCACATTTAAGGTGTTCCTCAGACTGATGTGTGCACAGGTTATAATCCTTTTATCCTTCTCAGTTTGAGTGTGTTATTTTCTAAAGTGCGAGTGTCACGTTTAGTGTTTGTTTGTGTTGTGTTAAAAAAATCTAGAGCACAGCGGACTTTACTTGTAACTGAATTGTCTCTGTTCACCTGCCAAGGGACTGTGAAGGGTCCCACGGGGATGGGGCAGAAGTGCAGTGCAGATGTGCAGCCAGGGGAAGTCAGCCACAAGTGAGAAGCAGCTCTTCTCTTTCTTCCCAATGGGCTGAGGGAGAGACAGCACCACAAATAAGGGTACCAAGCACTTAGGGTTTGCCTGTGGGGAAGCCCAAGGTCTGTGCAAGGCTGGCAGATCTGCAGAAGGGGATTTCACAGAGTGCTAAGGAGACAAACCCCCTGTTCCAATGCACAAGGGCAAGGAAGAGCCCTGGCTGGGCTCTGGGCTTAGCTCAGCTTCCAGGATGATCAGGGAGCCTGGATGCAGCCAGGTGCTCCCACCTGGAGAACACAAAGGTTGCCCTTTGGTGGCCCTCAGTAGCCTTTTGGCATCCTTTTCCTCAGGTGGTTGCCCATTCAGAGAGCAGCCAGGGCACTGCAGGTCCTCCCTGAACCCTGGGCAGCTCCAGGGACAGACAGGTCATTCCTGCAGCACATCCCAGCCCTGCCTGGATGCGAGTGGCCAGTGCTGACTGTAACAGTGGAGACACCATGTCACCTGCAGGACTTGCCCAAAGCAGGCCAGATATTGCTAAGAATAAGTTTTCCCAGCCATCATGGTGCTGGGAAATGGGTGCTGGGCTACCAGCATAGTCCCCCTGTTTCACCTGGAGATCTGAGGCCTCTGGGAAATACCAAGGTGCATCAAGTTGGCTTTGGCAAAGGCAGGGGAACTGCTCCAGCAGCTCTTTGGAGAGATGACTCTTGCCTGGGGTGGGAGGAGGCAGGGAAGCCAGCTTGTGCTGGGAGGCCTGCAATGTCCCATCATTCCTCTTCTTTCCTCCTTCGTAGATTTATTGCCCCAGAACTGCAAATCTTTCCCAAAGTGTGCCCTCTCCCCATCCTGCTGTGCTGGTTTGCTGGTATCACACTGTTCCTCTGCAGCCTTTCTGAACAGCAGCAGTAGCACCTATCTCCATGCTCTCTGTCAAAGTCAGCATGAGAGCAAAGGCAAAAACAGAGTTCAGACTAAGGTACCAAAGAGTTAACATTTTTCTAGGTTTACAGTTGTATTTGTAGGATTTGTACTATGTCACATTTATAGCCATGAGATATTATTTTTATGCTGTAAACTTTTACAAATATGTTTTTAAAGAAAGAGTTTAAAAATAAAGGTGTTTTTCATTTTGCAAAGTCTCATCTCTTCCTTTATTTGCCTGCTTTTGGTTGCTCCCACTCAGATGGGGCTGGGAATACAGCTTAACCCTGTGGTGGGTGAAGGCTAAGCATGTTAATACGCTGTGCATGACCCCAGTGCTTAGCGAAAGCCCAGGGAGCCAGGCAGGGAGAAGCACTGCAAGGAGCAGCTGAGCCCAGAGACAGGGTAAGGAAAAGGGGCAGGATCTGCCCTATCTCTCTGGTAACTGTGCAGCTTGTGGCTCATGTGGCAGTGGGTAGAGGGAAGGATACCAGGGATCATTCCCATGTCCCTGCTACCTGGGGTTTGGGCCAGCAGTCCCAGCTTAGAACGTGGCTTCTTGGAGCATTATTGGGTGTGTGCTCAGATCAGGGTGGGGATGCAGGAGAAATGACAAACTGAAAGTGGCCGGGCTGAAGGAGATGGCAGATACCACACCACTGATTTTTCCACATAGTTTAATAGCTCAGGGCAGTGGGAGGGCCTGGATTCAGCAACAGGGCAGGGCACCAGCAGGAGCCACATTGCAGCACACAGGGCTCCCCATGTCCAGCTCTCCTCCCTTCCTTCTAGGATGAGGAATTTGCTGATACCCTCAAAAGATGCAACTCCAAAATCCTGGCTCCCCACACCACCATTCCCTCAGATCCACATGTCACTCTGCTCCTGTCACCTTTCCCCAGACACCATTCCAGAGGCACTGAAGTCCCCCCAGCCACATGAGAGACAGGCACCTTGTGAGCCTTGTCCAAAGTTTTCTCCTCTCTCTAGCTCAAATTTAACTGCTCCTCCAAAATCCATCTCAAGCCACAGAGCAGAAATGTTTGCATCTGCTCTGAGCCATGTGCTTGGAAAGCCCAGGGTTGCTGCTAAGAGGGGTTTTGGTTCAAATACATCAGTGTTGACCCTATTTTCTGCTTACATGATGCAGTCCCCACTGGCAACAGTCGTGCCTCCCTCAGCTCCTGGAAGCTCTCTGTGTACCCAGAGGTCCAAGGCATGGAGTGCAGCAGCAATCAGGTCCAAGTTCCAGCAAGGCTCCCCTTTCCAGCACAGCCTGTCCTGGGTTCCTGCCTTTGCTCCAGAGTGGAGGTTTGCAGTGTCTCTGACCAGGTCAGGCTGATTCTCCCTAGATAGGCTCTGAGTCACCTGGCACAGCTCAGGGCATTTTTCTCCAGAAGCTGAATCAGCAGGAAGAAAAAAAATCCCCTTTGGTCCAGAGAGGCTGCATCAAACTCTCGGGGGGGCGGAATTGACAGACCTCAGTTCTGAACCCTTCAGGATCCTACTGATCCCTACCTAGCAGACCTTTTGCATGTCAGGATGTGCTGGAGAGGGGTCAAGGGGCTGGAAATGAGCAGGCCAACATGGGGACCCCCAGCAGGGCATTTCCCCCGCTCCAAAACAAGTCTCCTCTGCAGTGATGAGACAGACACCCCATGGAAGAGCCCAGGGAAGCAAAGAGACTGCAATGACAAACTCTGTAGCTGTGAGGGTACCAACAGGACACAGGTGCTCCACATGTGTCCCCAAAGTGTTGCAGGGCAGTTCAGGCAAGCATGGCACCATGGACAGCTGTGCCCAGTGCTGGGGTCTCACAGGGCTCCCAGCCTGGGAAACAAGCCCTAGCTCCCAGTGCTCCCAACCAGGGCTCCCAGCAGCCTCCATTCCCCCTTCCCCAGCCAGTCTACCAGGCACTGAGCAGGTCTCATCCCATCTTTCACAACCATCAGGGCCTCCACAGATATTCCTGGGTTTCAAGTTGTTCAAAGTGAGGTTGCAGCTTCTCTGAGAGCCCTGTGCTCAGATCTGCCTGGACATTGAGTTCCAGCAGCACTCCTGTGGCTGAGCTGCTGATTGCACATAAGATTTGGGGTGCAGCCTGCAGGAGGAAGAGAGGGACACAAAGGAGGGAGGGACCCCATGCTTGTTCCAATGAGGATCCCCAGGTGTGCCCAGTCCAGGCTGGGCATCTGTGTGTCCAGGCTGTCACCTGGGGATCATTGCCATCAGAGATGCTTTACAAAGGCAAAAGAGCATCTCTTCTCAAAGAGAAGAAGGAGGGCTGAGAGATTGTTTCCCTTCTCTCTATTAAACCTGTCTGGTTTAATACTTATTCACATTGGTGAGTCAGTTCTCTCTGAGCTGGCATTTGTTCCTGGGAAAAAAAAAAAGGCTTAAAAAGAAGAAGGGGGAAAACAAACATCCTTTAAAAAGCCCCTTTGGCTCGAAAGGAGGAAAGAATAATCAAGCAGACATCTCCTGTGGCCCAGCTGCCTGACAGCCCCCCCAGCTCTGGGCAGGAGCCCCCGAGAGCACTATGCTGTCTCTAATTCATGTTCTTCTTCCCTGAATCCTGCCAGGAAAAACTGCTGAGGGGAAACGTTCTTTGGCCAAAAGCTGCCTTTCCTTCTCTCTGGACTCCCTCATGCTCTCCAGCCATCCTTCTGGCCAAAACCAAGAGCTCTCCACATCCCCATGACTCTTAGTCATCTCCAGCACAGTCAGCCGTGCTCTCATCCCTTGGCCCCAGGACCTTGTCCTGCTGGTCCCCCTGTAACTGCCCCCTTTGGAGAAGCCCATTCCCCTCCAGGCTGTGGGGGCTTTCAGGTGCAGATTCAACAGCCACCTCTGGGCAGATGTTTTGGAACAACCCTTCTCTTTCTGCCCATGGTTTGTCATGGTGTTCCTGTCCCCTCCCTGCTGTTGGGGCTGCAGCTGGGGCAGCTGGCAGAGCCCCTGGCTGGACCTTCCTCTCCTGTGCTTCCTTTTCAGCACTGTCAGGTGATGGCTGTCACTTCCCACCCCAGAGCTGCAGTGAACAGCCCTGAACTGCAATGTGAGATTATCCAGAGACAGAGCAGAGAGCAAGGGGCACCCTGTGTCTGACAGGATCTGCTCATCCTGCAGACTGGGGTATCCCTGGGAGAACTGGTTTACTGTTTTGGAAGACACACGGTGCAGTGGAGGGTTAACAAAGTGTCCGATTTTTAATTACTAAGACTGCTAATTAGCTAACTGTTTAATTAACTGTTTAAATATTGCTTCAAGGTGCCTGCCAGGCTGTCAATTGCAGCATGGCTCCAAGCATCCTCCCCACCAGCAAGGCAGGATGCTGGGTGGGATGGGCTCCAGGGGAGGAAGGGTCTGTACTTGATCCCTGTGCCTGCCTGGTGGTGGCAGGGTCACTGGGACAGGAAAGAGCAGGGGTTCTCCTGTGCCCCCCCCAGCCCAGCAGGAGCCAGAAGGGGTCTGCATGCTGGACTCCAACACATACCCCTGCCAGGGAGGGTGGAGAAGCTGGCATGGGGCTTGGGGGTGATCCTGTGTGGCCACAGGACCCCTCTCTGCACCAGGGATCACACTTTCAGTTAACTCAAAGTAATTTGGCATCTTCATAGACTTTTTCCCT